CAACTGCTATTCATGGTTCTTCTGGCCTAAAATTTCATCCGTCTGAGAAAGCCAATGAAATTGCCGACTGTTTGGAAACTCGGTTCACGCCACATGACCTGTGCGACGAAAACCATGAACAGCGGGTGGAGGCTAGAATTCAAGCTCTGGTTGAAGCCTTGGATGAAAACCCCCCTCTAAGGATCAGACCATGTGACGTTAAAAATTAATAAAATCCCTGAAATTAAAAAAGGCCTGTGGAATTGACGGCATCCCAAATGAATGCCTCAGTCACCTTCCAAGGCGACCATTGGTTCACCTAACTCACTTATTCACAGATCACTTACCAATAGTATTCCACATACTGGACCACGTTAAAATTAGGAATCTTGCGGAACCCATTGAAAAATTTACAGATTGGGAGCGGTTTCAAAGCCTCGCTTCTGATCTAATATCTCCTAAACTAGAAATTAAGTCGGGGGTATAAACCGATAAAGAGGCACGCGACGTTGTAACCTCTATTGCTACGGCACATAAGTTGTCGACAATTAAGGTTACACTCTCGGACATAAACAACGATCTTCCTGGTCTAGATCATTTGCTAAAACATAAGCAGAGGATACGAAAATTGTGGCAAGAAACCACGGATCCAGCGTGTAAAACGGCAGTCAATTGGGTCACAAAATCAATCAGGTAAATGACCCAAAAACAGGTCCTTGAACGGTGGGAAACAAAAATACGTAACGCTGAAGTCACACCTCAGTGTGTATGGCCAACTGCGAAATCCCTTTTCAAGAGAAATGGACCAAGTTCACCGACTGCTATTCATCTTCAGGACTTAAGTTTCCTCCTTCCGAAAAACCCAACGCAATTCCTGAGTGTTTGGAAATTCATATCACTTAGCATGATTTGTGTGACGATAACTATGAACGATGGTTGAAATATTTCCGGTTGAATCAGAATTCTGGTTGTTTGGGCACCAGATATCAAAGAGTTTCCTGTAATATATTGAGCAGTGAAATCATGGATTAGGGTGGATTGTAGAATGACGAATTGCATTGAGACTGTCTAATGTACCAGTATATAAGTGGTGACAGCAAAGGTTTCTAAAAACTTTAAGATGCTTGTTGGTAGAGAATGACTAATACTGCTTTTATCAGGTGTTCAAGCTGACAGAGTGACACTTTGGTCGGCTATCTCATTTTCCAAATACTTGGAAGGAAACAAAAATAATAACTTTATCTAAACCATGTAAAGACCCGAAATTCCCTCAAAATTTACGTCCCATCAGCCTCCAGTCAACGACAAGCAAACTATTCTGGAAGTAATTTTGAAATTCCTCCGTAAACTGTTGAAGAAGAGGCCTGCTCAACGCAAGCCAGTTTAGTTTTGTTCCACTTCACAGCACGACATTGCAATGTATGAGGCTTGCGGATCACGTGACCCTTAATTTCAACAATAAAATGTCTACAGCTGGATTGTTCTTGGACATTGAAAAGCCTTTGATATCACTTCGCACTCAGGCTTGCTGTATAAGTTATCAAAATTGTAATTCTCTAACTGTTTGACCAAGCTTATTGGGTCCTTTCTTTGTGTCATAAAGTTGTGTTCTTTCCCCTACTCTTTTCAACTTGTATATAAATGATGCCCCCCAAACACATTGTGTTCACCTGGCCCTCTTTTCGAACGACACCTGTCTATATGGAACAGATCCCAAAGAGAGTTTTATTGTTAGAAACGTCCAGCGCGGTCTCAGCTCAAGGGAGACCTGGTGTGAGCGCTGGAATATAAAAATTAATGAAGATAAGACTCGGGGGTCTACTTCTCTCGTGGGTGTCGACCGCCTGAGTTTTGTCTTACTTTAAATGGACGAGATATTCCATTTGTTAATAGTGCAAAATATCTAAGTGTGATCTTCGATAAGATAGTTACATGGAGATTACACATAGAAATGATCGAAGCCAAGGCCTTCAGAATATTCATTAGAGTATATTCCATAATTAAAATTGAGCGATTGAGCGCTAACATTTGACTGACCCTCCACAAATCTCTAATTAGTTCTGTAATGACTAATGACTTATGCTAGTCCCGCTTGGGAGTTTGCATCAGATACCCATTTAGTGAAATTACAGCGCCTGCAAAACAAGGTTCTCCGCACCATTGGCAATTTTCCAAGGCGCACAGTGGTCAGCGATTTGCACTTGGCATTCAAAATCCCATACGTATATGATCACATAACATAATTATGCAGGCAACAAGCAGAAGTCATACAAAATCATTACAACAAAAATGTTCTGAATATTTGATAAGAAGAAGAAGAACCACAAAGTCTTAACAACAAACAATCCTGACTGCCAGGGGGAAATATACTTGCTTGCCCACAATAGGGCAGCTTATCTATACATCGCCATCCATAAATGGAAACGGCGCAGTATGGAATCAACTAATAACAAAATTTGAGGCCATGAGTACAGTGCTCTGTAAGCACCTCGATGGCAAGGCTCTCTTAACAGCCATTCTTCACCTGTATGCTGCAATCTATACGGAAATGCGAGAGTCGCTTCTGCTGGAAGAAAAAGAACCTGAGGAATTTCGCGGACAAAGGAGACATAAATGAAACCCCTCAGAAATGCTTGCAAGGAAACTGAAGTCCACACCAGGCCCGAGAGACCCGAGGATAAAATCCCAGGGTCAAGTACTAGGGGCGTTTATTTAAATGCTTGCTGTTGGTGCACGTTTAAATGCCCGTTGCTGCTCTGAGTTTAAAAAAACGACCCCCCAGGGAAGTGCAGTGCCTTGTCTCTTCTCTTCCTGGTTCTCTCTCTCTCTCTCTCTCTGTCTCTCTCTCACACTCTTTCCACTCACTGACCGGATAGCTACATGTCATCTACTTATTTGCCTCAGTACTGGGACAGCTGCAGCCCTCTATCTGATTGCAAATTATACTGGCTTCTCAGTTCGCTAGGGAACCTGCTTAATCCGTCCCTCTTATACCTTGCGGTGTCCAGGTTTTTGGTTTTCTTTTCCATTTTGATCATTTTAAAGATGGTAGGACTCCTTAGACTCATGCTCAGCTCATCGCAACACCTCTACGTAAGCACAGGACAATACAAACACAGAATAAAAGCATGCATACACCAAACATCCATGCCTTGTGTGGGAGTCGAACCCACAATCCCGGCTTCCGAGAGAGCGAAAACAGTACATTCCTCAGACTACTCGCCTACCGTGACCGGCCACTGATTTCATACAACTCTTAAAATATCAGATGTCCTATCAGAAAGTTCATTGTTCTATAATATCTTAAGTTGTATATTTCTAGTCTCTTTGTTACGAATAATTTTAGAATTTTATTGTCAGTCAATCTAAACTGTGTCTTCTCCTCAAAGTTCTAGCTCACGTTTGATAAACGTGTATGACGACTGTGAAGCTCTTATACCGTGAAGATGGAGGCAGTATGATTCTCCGACACGTTGATACATAGGGGACCACGTCATAATGCAGAAGTCTACAGTATGTTAAACAACATATTTTGATAAAACTGAGGTAATGGTGGGAGATAAGCGTTCAGATATAATGCTCACAAACCCGGTGTTGACGTTTCTAGGGCAGACTATTAAATGTCCGCTCCTGTTAGGGCGCTTAAACAATTTTAAGCATTGTGTTTAAAAATGCTGTATCTAACACAATTATTTTGATAAAAGGATGACATTGACTTTGTTTGTATCATCAAAGACCACAGTGTCACATAATCTAACATAAGATTTGCAAATTTCCATACGAAGGTTTATACACTATTTTCAATTTTGTTCTTTTAATTTTTATGCCTACTCTAACAATGGTTTTCAATTTCTACATAGTGGTGTTCCGCATTATAAAATAAATTCTGCTTGTGACACCTGACATTATAGCAGACCCTGGTGCACATAAAACAGTTGGAAGCATTAAAATCATTTTGTCTTCTCCTGGCAATTTACAAATCTTTGTTACACTCTTCAGATTTTCGAATTTTTTGACTAAAAGACAGAAGAATGAAAGCATAGCTATTCAAGAAAAAGCTAGAGGGGTCCCCTCTTCAGGGCTAAGACATTCCGTTATAGATGCAAGAAATTATTGCCCCTTCTAGGTTCGTGAACAGACAGTAGCGTCGTGGCTGAGATACAGTATGCCGTCAGTTCTCTGCGCTTTCATAGTGAAATCAAATACTGTAGTTTTATTTCAGCCAATAGCAGATAACAAAACAGAAGGTATGTACATCGAATTTTACTGTATATTTTTAACACATTGATCTGCAGAATCTGCCAAAAAATACTGCCTCTTGGATGAATTTGTCTATAACTCTTACGCATACTCTTTTTTTGTTGTTGTTCACTTAGGAATCATTTTAATTCCTCAATTAGGGTTTTACTCAAGTATGTCTGGTAATTGCTACATTTAAAAAGAAATATTTAGGACTGTGTATGCGCTTCTACTAGTGGCGTGTGGGCGCGCGTCCACTAGTGGAGTTTCAATGCCCGACTGGCCAATCGGGGTACTTTGGTCACGACGACCATACTCATCAATGGTCCGATCGGAGCACTTTGGACGTTAAAGGTTAATATCACCTAAACTGGAAATCAAGTCGTGGGTAGAAGCCGATAAAGCGGCACGCGTCTTTGCAGTCTCTATTGCTTCGTCATACAGGTTGTCGAGAAGAAAAGTTGCACTTTCGGACATAAAGAAAGATCTTGCTTGTCTAGATCCTTTGTTAAAACATAAGCGGGGGCTACGAAAATTGTGGCAAGAAACCAGGGATCCAGAGTGTAAGACGGTAGTCCATTGGGTCACAAAATCAATCAAGCGAATTACCTGAAAAATGGCAATTGACCTTTGGGAAACAAAAATAGGTAACGATAAATTCACACCTCTGCATATATGCCCTTTGAGAAATCCCTCCTGAAGATTGATGGACCAAGGGCACAAACTTCTATTCATGGTGCTTCTGGCCTTAAATTTCACCCTTTCGAAAAAGTCAGCGCAACTGCCGACTGTTTGGAAATTCAGTTCACACCACACGACCTGTGCGACGATAACCATGAAAGGAGAGTGGATGCTGGAATTCAAGCTCTGCTCGAAAAGGTAGACGACAAACCCCCTCAAAGGATCAGACCACGTGACGTGCAAAAATTGATAAATTGCTTGATATTGAGGAAAGACTGTGGAATTGACGACATCCCAAATGAATGCTTCAGGCACCGTCCAAGGCGACCATTGGAATACCTAACTCATCTGTTCAATCACTGTCTTCCTCTCACTCATTTCCAAATACTTGGAAGGAAACAAAAATTATAACTTTACCTAAACCCGCTAAAGACACGAAAGTTCCTAAATTTCACGTTCGATCAGCTTCCTGTCCACGACAGGAAAACAATTCGAAAGAGTAATTTTGAAATTCCTTCAAAAGCATGTTGAAGAAAGAGGCCTGCTCAACGCAAACCAGTTTGTTTTTCGTGCACGTCACAGCACGATATTGCAATATATGAGGCTGGCGGACCACGTGACTCTTAATTTCAACAATAAAATGTCTACAGATGCGGTGTTTTAGGACACCGAAAAAGTCTTTGATACCATTTGGCACTCAGGCTTGCTGTATAAGTTATCAAAATTGCTATTTTCGAACAGTTTGACCAATCTTATTATGTCCTTTCTTTCTCTACGTAAATTCAAAGTTTCGGTTGAAGGCGAAATGTCAACTTCAAGGGAAAAGCAAGCAGGAGTGCCACAAGGTTAGGTTCTTTCCCCAACTCTTTTCAATTTGTTCATAAATGATCCCCCCAAAAAAATACATGGTGTTCAGCTGGCCCTCTTTGCAGAAGACACCTCTCTATATGTGATAAATCGCAAGGAGGGTTTCATTGTTAGAAAACTGCAGCGCGGTCTCAGCTCAATGGAGATCTGGCGTGACCATTGGAATATAAAATAGGAAGGGGGACCCAAAAATAACCGGAACCGACCTGTTGCGCGCGCATGCTTTGTAGTTACGAGTTGTGCTGCTAGATGGTGTTAGCTGGGGGTCTCCCGCGACTGTTAGTGAGCTGGCGTCGGTCTGAGTTAAGTTGTTTGTCTGTGGTGCTCTGTTGTGTGCGTTCCTGTTTCAACCCTTTGGCGATTAGTGAGATGGCCGACCAGAAGGAACAAAGAG